GGAGGAAGCGCCGCCGAGAGGGCGAGACCTCTGAGCGAGCCAAGGACGGGTAGGGTTGTGTCAAGCGGAGGCGGGGGAAGGGCGTTAGGCTCCGTGCGTGGCAAATCTAGAACTTACAGAACCTGAAACTCTGGGGTGCTGGGTCACTGCCCTCCACCGGGACCCCCAACCCCTGGGCCACAGACCGCTACCAGTCCGTGGCCTGTTGGGAACCGGCCGCACAGCAGAGTGCAAAGCTTCACCTGTATTTACAGCCACTCCCCATTCATCGCGCGCATTACGGTCTGAGCTCCGGCTGCGGTCGGAGCGGCGGCGGCATTAGATTCTCACAGGAGGGCGAACGCTATTGTGAACTGCACGTGCGAGGGATCTAGGTTGGGTGCTTTCTATGAGAATGTAATGCCTGATGATCTGAAGTAGATCTAAGGTGGTGGTGCCAGCACTGGGGAGCGGCTGCAGATACAGATTGACGTTAGCAGTGAGGTTTGACTGCACATCACCCCGCCTTCTCCCTTTCGTAGAAAAAAAAAAGTGTCTTCCATGAAACCTGTCCCTGATGCTGATGTGTGGTGTAATAGACCTATAGTCACTTAAGCAGACAAAAATATAGTTATTATCGTATCCTACTAGGCTACTTAATCTTTTTTCCCCTTCTTAGGCATTCCCCGGGCAATGTTCATTTATTCATTCAACAAATATTAGCAATTATGTTGCTGTGCTGACTACACAAAGAAATAACAAATCTAACCCTGGATTTAAATTGGGAGATGTGTGTGTGTGTGTGTGTGTGTGTGTGTGTGTGTGTGTGTACACACACACACACACACACACAGATAATCACAGATAATCGCAGTGAAGTGCTACCAGGGAAACTGAGGTTTGTGCCACATGCAATGGCAACACTGAAGAGGGAAAGACACACACGTGGTGGAGAGGGCTTTACAGAGGAGGCAGTGTGTCTTGGTCCAAAAAGGTGAAAGGAATTACCTGAAAGATAACAGGCAAGGGGGAAAGGGGTGAATTTTCCTGGCAGAAGGTACCTATGTGTACCAAAGTTTGGAAATGAAAAATAGTTTGAGCTCCAGAAATGATGAGCTCCAGAAGTTCCTTGTGGTTGAGATGATCAGATTGTGAAGGGTCTTTGCATGTCATACTAAGAAATGTAGCTTCCTGTCCTCTACAAAAATCCAGTGGAAGTTTTCCAGGTGGCAGTAGTAATAACAATAGCAATGGTAAAAATAATAGCAATTACTGAGTGTTTCCTGTGTGGCAGGCACTGTCTCAGGTATTTTAAATGTATTAATTCATTTAATTCTCTATGCTGACCCTATAGCATAGTATTATTTGCCTTATTTTGCAAATGAGAAGATTGAGGCACAGAGAGAATAAATAACCCACCCCATATTAATCACCTGTGGACCACATTAAGAGGTGTGTGCTGGCAAACCAGCTCTGCAGGAAAAAGTCAAGGTCCCTATTTGCGGCATCTGCCCATTTCTGTGGTGTCGATTTTCCTACAGTGACTGATTTCAACATACCTTGATATTATCCCTGATTGCAGTTGGATAGAGATGCTAACATCAGCTCTTGTGAGCAGGGATGGGCCAGCTCCAGTATGCTACTGCTTGCTGTAGACGTGGAAATGTATCACCACATCCCCCAACGAGGAAGGACTTCTTGCACAGATGCAGGGAATGAGATGAAAAGAGTCTTCATTGGTTAGCTCTTTCTGGGTCAATCCTGCAGCAGATTGAATCTTGCTGGGAGTCATTTCCTTCCTGGGGCAGTCCAAATCTGGTAACTGAGTAAGGTGGGGGAATCATTTAGGCTCAACATGAGACAACTCTGACAGCAATACTAGCTCCAGCGCTCCAGCTACCTTGACCAAGGCTTTATTAAAACTTTTTGACTTCTTCCTCTCCCCTTTCTTGCTTTCCTTCCCTTTTGCAGACGTTGTCCCCTAATAAGCATCTTGCACCTCAAATTCCATCTCAGCAAATCCAATCTGTAACATCAACTCAACCAACATACATAGCTAGTAAGTGGTAGAGAAGGGATCTGAACCCAGGTCATATGGATCTTGATTCCATACTGTTTTTTTTTTTTTTTTTGAGAGAGACAGGGTCTCACTCTGTTGCCCAGGCTGG